TTGGACAACAACACCACAGTAGGAACCCGGGCGGGAACCCGGACACTGACACCACAGCAGAAACCCCGACTGGGACCCGGACACTGACACCACAGCAGCAAACCCGGGCGAACAGACTCGGAGTGGTGCAGTGACGCGCACTTCATCGTTGCTTCGGGCTGGACGAAAATAGAAGAGAAATAGACGAGACTGGAGATATCCAAGACAGATGTACCCTGAGATTGTGCGATGGCGTGACCATGCTTCGACGGTCCCTTGGCATTGCTGGTTTTGGCTCAGCCATAGTCGCCTTCAGATGCGGGCGCCTGGCATAACATGTGGTCCTGCATGGTAAGCATGTAGTTGTTAACGCACAACCCTTGTGGTTTACCGCAGTCGTGTTCCAGGGTTATGGCATGCCTGAGCTTTGTTTCGACTTGAACTAAAGCCCGAGACACCAGGCTACCATGAGTGATGTGTTATAGCGATGTGATTTCTGCAATTTGACGGACGTCAGTTTGCAATGGGCAATTTGAGATGCATCAGCCAACTCTTCAGGGTGGCTTATGCTGGCGTTGTATTGTTTGATGTGATGCGATATGGTTAAATGTGTTCCGGTTAATACAGGTAATAAAACCAGAAATTGCCATTACGGAGATGATAAAGATGCGTTAACGTGTTGTCGAGGAGTGTGTAATACACGTACGGTGCTGCAATATTGCATATGCTGAACACGGCTTCATCGCGCGGCAATACAGGTAGTCTCGGTTCATGCAGGTAATAAAAACCGAAATTGCCGTTTCGGAGATATATGCATCAATGTCCCAGTCGATGAGTGTGTAATACACGCACCGTGCTGCAGTGCTGCGTATGCTAAACATGGCTTCAGCGCACAGCAGTGCCGAACTGTTAAGCAGCTTTGTTTTCCTGGCTAGAAATAGCATTGTCTGCTGCCGATGCTGCGTTCCTAGGCAGATAGGGGTTCTGGGTCGCTGGGAAGGGGAATAGCTGCTGCTGCGCTCATGTGTTATCATCACTTACCCGCGCAGAGGAGGCTTGTGTGTTATCATCACTTACCCTGCGCAGAGAAAGCTTGTGTGCTATCAGCACTTACTTTGCGCAGAGGAGGCACGCATGTTATCATCACTTACCCCGCGCAGAGGAGGCTTGTGTGCTATCATAACGTACCCTGCGCAGAGGAGGCCTGTGTGCTATCATCACTTACCATGCGCAAAGGAGGCTTGTGTGCTATCATCACTCACCCTGCGCAGAGGAGGCTTGTGGGCATCATCATTTCGCAGAGGAGGCTTGTGTGCCATCATCACTTGCCCTGTGCAAAGGAGGCTTGTGTGCTATCATCACTTACCCTGCGCAGAGGAGGCTTGTGTGCTATCATAACTTACCCTGCGCAGAGGTGGCAGTCACTCACGCATCATCATCACGTACCCTGCGTAGAGGTGGCATACGCTAACTTCGGTGAAACTGTGTTAGTGGTAGTGATGGGCTGTCGTCTGCAGGCTATAGTTCATCATTCCAAGAGCTGTACGAGGTCCAAAATTGCGAGTTCTTGTCCTCAAAGTAGCTGCCCTTCTATATACCATGAGACACTTGTCGAACGGAAATATCAGACAATCTTTTGGGACATATGAAAATGTTTGATATTAAGTGTTGTCATAAAATGTCTCCAGGAATGCTTGGCATTTTCGTTTAGCGAGTGCCTCCTGGCATACTGAACTCCGTTATTTTGAACGCTACCCAGAACGCTAAAAGACATAGAGCCCTTAAGTCGTTCTTACAAATGTAAGCACACTCTGAAACACGGCTCACGTTTTACTGACGCCTGTCCAAACACTTTCAGTGACGACGGCACGGGCACATAATTTCGGTTTATCTCGCGGGGTCAGTCACCGGTGCACTCCAATTGTGGTCAGCGGTAGCCCATGCACCCCATGCACAGCTGCTACTCCTGCACTTGCCGTCCCGCTTGCCTTAACTAAAACGCCCTGCGTGTGTGGGTGGAAGTTTGCCAAACCTGAGTTGGTGCCGTTCCATCCGGCGGAAGCAGTGGGTTTATGCTAAAAGTTCGTACGGAAGCATTGCGCATGCATAAAATGCACGTGTCCTTATTCCTGAGGAAGCGTACGTAACGAGCGCGCGCTCGAACAAACGGCCTCGAAAGTACGCCCCTGATCCACCAGGTGGCAGCGGCACCGACCCATCACGCCGTTTGGCGGCCGTCGAGAGGATCCAACCAGTGCCCAGGACAGTGGTGCAGATTAAGACCATAACTTTGTGCATGTGTTAATCGTTGTCAGTGCGCCGCAAAGCCGTAACTCTCATCGCCGTTACCAGCAACCGTTTCGCGTAGGCTTGGCGCAAGCGCTCCGAACTCCACAGAGGTGGTAACGAGACAGCCTATCTCACCCCCACCCCCCACCCCATACACCCAGCGGGTCGTTCTCAGATCAATGCAGATCCACAAGAAATTGCTTGAGGGAAGGTGTGTCGAAATGTTAGAAACAAATTGACGGGCACAGAAAAGGCCTGAAAGTGAACCGCAGCGGAGAGTAAACTTTATGGCACCTCATTTGTGTGTCACGGCACCGTCTTGTCATACAAGTCGGCACTGACGCCGCTTTGCTGGGTAGCGCGAAGCGAAGACATACCAACGGCACATCGCTGAACCAGAGCAAGCATGACCCATGAGCCATTGATCCGTTTCGATATGCCATAAAATTCGTAAATAACTGTGTAGCCAGATAAACCGAGGGGGTCTCTGTTCATGGGCCTCCAGAAGCAATGCAAACCAGCATGCTTCATGCATTCGCGCTATGAAGCCTGCCTGCCTGCCTTACAGAGCCCCGGAAGCACATGCACGCTGACGCTGACGTGGCGGGATGATATGACGTGTGGTGATGTGATAGCATAGTACGTGGTAACATACGTGTGGTATATAACATGTGACAAAGATGTGAATCTCGCGGCTCACAATAGCATCCACAAAGCTTATGATACCGAATATGTTACGCAAGATTTGAACCGTGCGGTGCCGACACGCTCACCTGTCCCGAACTGGTACGGCATGTGCACTGTTTACCGCACGGGTAATAGGGACATGCAGCCTGTCCCTCCCCCCCCCCCCCCCCCCCCCCCACCACACACACACTTGGCTGTCAGCCCATCTCCCTAGCTTTAAATGCGAAGCAGGGGGAGCCCGAGCGGCAGTCAGCTGTGGAGCGACTTCGAGAGTAGATATAGCATTACACTTCCCCAGTCATCACATCATGCAAAACTACGCTTCGGCGTTTAAATAAAGATCGACGGGCATACGGCCTGTACGAGTGCGGTCATGGGCCGCGTAAGGTCCTGCGGATAGTGCAGTGACAAACAATCGGCAATATGCTACTTGCCCAGGGTCGTGGAGTCCCCATATGTCAATGCCGGTCAGGGCGAAGTGCTGCTACAGCGAAATTTTTTTGTATTTGCTCTCCCATTAATATTTTACGCCTGGTTGGCCCTTCACTGACAATTTGCGTGGTATCGACAGGCTTCTGTTAGATTTAGATATGGTTAAACCTCACAGTGTCCGCAGCACTTGTATGTCCGCATATTTTCGTGAGCGTTTTGCTCTTTGGAAGGGTGTTGACTGATCCAATAAGTGTTCCCGATTTTCTGGAGGCAAATCACGCGGAATTATCCCAAGCTCTAGGCGGCTAGGCCGCTAAATGTTTTCCTTATGCGATCAAAATTGTGACTAAGTGTATTTGTCACGTTATTAGTGAGTGCTAACGTAATGAACCAGCGTTTCATATTTGCCTGACTCGAAGCTCAGATAAGTCATCTTTATGCAGAAGCCTTGCTATGTGTATTAAGATGTCAGTGAATATTGCCTCTTCTTGCAGCGTTTCGTTCTCATGAATAGCATCATGAGACACATTTTGTGACCAGCATGCTTAACAGAAGAACAATGTCGTTTCGGCCAAATATTTCAAGTAGTTTGAAGAGACGTTAGGTAGGTAGAAATGGTTAACACTTCAGGGTCCGTTTATCACACTATGCGCTATTCGTATAACACTGCCTTTGTAAAAATCCTGTCAGGTGCAATCGAACCTGCTCGGATATTTATCACATTAGCAGATGCTCGTGTGTGCCTAATAAGATGTGTGGTTTAACAGATAGTCTAGTGTGCCTGGGAAAACACATGGCTAAGATAAAAAAGAGATGTCCACATGTGCATACCGACAAAAAAGTCGCATCACGCACACAGAAACGCACCGATGCAAACATACGCGTACTTGCCTGCACACACATTCAGACAACATTAGAACATCTGCTTTACAGTTTCGGCGACTTCAAATGCCGATAATCTTGTATGTTACCAGATGAAAGAAGGCAGGGATAATCCGAACGTATGTGTTTAAAAGCGTTGTAAGAAATATCGTATGTTAGCGATATGCCTTCATCTATCGTACGCTCTTTTGCCCCGAAGCAGTCATTGTCATCCGATCTCACACTTACACTCTTCGCTCCCATGCCCACACAGTATCCTACCCACTCATTCATTCTGAGCCCGTCTCATACAGCTGCAGCTTCGACCATCTTCAATGTCAGCTTCTCTGCCCCCCCCCCCCCCCCCACACGCTCTTCAACTTCGGCCGGTTCAACCACTGGCGCTCCCAAGTCTTCCACTCACGAGCTTCCCATTAGCTCACCAATGTTTACGTGCCGGTCCCACTTTCCCATCCGCTTTCTTTCCGCCTCGCCTTCGTCTCGCCCTCCCTTGCTTTTCTATCCCTACGTTTGCCCTGTGTCCCTTCTCCAAACTGTTACCCGATCCCCACCCCGCTTACCCCTGCGTCCCATCCTGCAGGCTCCCGAAAATGCACAAACCCTGAGCACTGATCGGTGCTCCCGAAGCACCGAGGGGGTTCCGTGGCGATCAGACGCAGCACTAAACTGACCTTTAGCCTGTCCACGTGTATTGTACATCGCACCAACGCCACGTGTGTGTCCTGTTGCAGACGGCGGCACCCACGTGTGTCCCGTGTGTGGCCGGCAGTACACCAACCCGCGCTCGCTCGAGTACCACAAGAAGATGCACGCGGGTCTCACCACCTGCGTGCTCTGCGGCAAGGTCTCCAGCAAGGTGGAGCACCTGCGCCGGCATCTTGAAAACGTGCACAAGCTCTCTCAGGAGGACATCCGCAGTATCGTGCCCACGCGGAACCGGGCTCGCTATCCGGACGGGGTGTGAGGACGGGCCGGTGGCAGGCCGCCGGACGGGCTGCTGGCTGGGGTGTGAGGACGGACCGGTGGTAGGGCCGCCGGGCGGGCTGCTGGCTGGGGTGTGAGGACTGACCGGTGGCAG